ACCTGTGCAGAGGTAGTTCTTTTTGGAATATTTCTTGATACCTTCCTTCATCAGTTCTGCTTTGTGGGGTAAACAAAAATTTATTTTAACTTGGTAAAAAAAAACTTCAGTTCTTTTTTTCTGTGGAAAATGAGTTGTGTCTGTTAAATTATGTTATGCTGCGCAGGATACTCCTGCACTACCACACAATACTTCTCAGTGTAATGAAAGCTTTACTCACCACTAAATGCTTCTTTTTTGTTTTTTATTATAGCTTGATCTTTTAAGAAAAGCAGGTCCTTGAGCAAATTCAGAGTAAAAATGAGAGCAAATTCAAAGCCACAGTGAAAGACTCACAATCTCCTGTTTCCCACTGCGTCATGTTTGCAGTTGCAGAATCAACAGCAAATTGAAAAAAAAATCTTAAGATCACAGTAAAATTGATTAAAAAATAATACATATTTCTTTTCTATGCATACTATGGCTTCATAACACAATTTAAAAAAAATTCACAAGTTTTCAGATGAACTTACCATTTGCAAAAATCCAGCATCTCTATAATCTCTATAAACGCTAAGTAATAAAAAACTCCAGGAGCTACGGAGATGTCAGTTGCTAAATTCTGACAATGTTTACATTGCACACTCAAGAACAGCATTATTGCTGAAATAGATTCTTTATTTCTGAAACATTCCAAAACAGCAGTATACACAGTTGTAATCAAATATTAAGTCATATGCCATTATAAGAAAGCATTGATTAGTGCAAATGGATTTTGTAAAAGATCTATCAAAAAGATTTATTCGCATTAAAACTCATTTTCCATAAGCAACTGTTAATAAAACATTAATTTTATTCTTTGTAATAAAGTACTGAAAATCAACTGTAGTTTTAAAGATCATTGTATTTTTGTAAGTGCGATGTGACTGCTATTTTTAAATACAAAACACTATGACAATAAATTAACAATTGAACAAATGGTGAAAGACCAACAAAACCATGCTGACCCATCTGGATGGCAATTTCCAGTGAATGCTACTTTTTTTGTGCTTCTGCAACATAAATATACTGCTTTGTATTGCCAATGGTATGACCTTGTAAGATATGTTCCTAGTGCTAAAAAAGTACATTACCCCAAAAATATTATTTATGGCACAGAAAAGTTAAATTATCTCTCTCTTGTTCAAAGTTCAGGCAAATTTAAGTGAACTTAAGTATACAAAATAAAATGTACTGGGAACACTAGAAAAAAAATTCAAGCACATATATAAGTCCCCCCAAATTAAAAATGAAATGCATGATGTCTTTACACTGAATAAATGAGCTTAGAATTTCAGTACAGCAAAGCTGCCCGAAAGCATCATTAATCTCCTAGTTCTTTCCAAGGAACATATATAATACTTTCTTCAGTTCCAAGTGCCAACACTGCCATTGTTAATCTGAAAACAATGCAGATGTTCAGATAACTGATTAAGTGCAATATTTAGTATTTGATAAGGTGTTCATTAAAAAATGACACTGCATTATGAATAGTTACATATTAAAATCCTGGGGGAAATAATACTGTATGACCCTCCTTTCCCAAATCCTTGTTACCCAGCCAGCTGGGTAGTGAAATCCGCAGTATTTCTTTGCCACTGTTGAAGAGCATCCTTCATCAATAGCAGCCGTCTCTCCAGTTCCCATCCCGCATCGTGCTGAGTGACGAAAGCGGCTTTGGAGGCTGAAGAAAACTGTATCAACCAAACAACAAAAAGATGACAAAGGAAGTCATATTTCATGTGAAAGAACAAGGTAACAAACAATTTACTTCTGCAGTGACACTGGTTTTGTATAATAGACTCATCGAATGGCTTAGGTTGGAAGGGACCCTAGAGATCATCTAATCCAATTCCTGGACACCTCACAACTAGACTAGGTTGCTCTAGGCCTCATCCAACCTGACCTTGAACACCTCCATGGAGGAAGCATCCACAGCCTCTCTGGGCAATCTATCCCAGAGTCTCACCACCCTCATACTGAAGAACTTCTTCCTAAGATCTAGTATGACCTTAGACAGATCTCTGACTACACAGATCCTTGTAGCTTGCTTAGTGACATCACTCTGGTATCTTTCTGACTCCCATTAATGCAAATGTGAAGATCTACAGTGAAATTAAGGCCACTTCCAATAAGACTCCATTACTGTTACTTGTCTTAACAGGGTAAAAAGTTTGTAAAAAGGAACTGGTGAATAACTGTCATGATACATGAGATCCCTCTAAATGAGACAATTTGGTTTTTTGGTGCTGAAGATAATTAAAGATGATTGTCACCATGGACAGCAGAGATCTAATAGGAAATATTCTCAAAAAAACTGTTGTGCTTAGCATGATCGTTAAAAACCAGCACTTTATAAAAATACGGGCACTAAAGTATTTTGTTATCTTACAATTTGAAGAACTGTACAACTCTTGCTCCAGACCCTCTTATCTGAGAGACATGATGACACATTTCCATCGCACAGCCAAAGTCAGAAAGCTGCCGGTCCCAGCACCACCACCACTCCTGCAGGGAACCCACTGGATGGGCTCACACCCAAGCTGTTTCTCAACAGTATATGAGGACTTTCTATACAGTGCTTGTTGACCATCTTCAAAACCTTCCGTGTACTACACAGGTAACTGTTTCAAATAAGATTAAAATAGGGAAAACCATTATTCTGGCTTGATCTGTCTGCCAACTCACTGGTGATAAGGCAGACTATCTCTAATTTGCCACAACAATAAAGTTTCTCAATTCAGTGAAACTGCTTCTAATAAAAACAGGTTTCAAGCCTTGTTGTCATACTTCTCTGCTTTTTCTCTGAGTTACTGATACCTCCTCTTCCTTCCAAATGCCCTTGGCTGGAAAAAGGCAGAGGTAAGCTTTAAGGCAGGCAGAGTCAGTAAGTTAAAAGCAGTCACCAGAACACCTTCTCACCTCTCTGCTACAAATGCTTTTGTAATGGAAAAAACATTGCACTTAAGTAAAAAAAAGTTGGTTAAGGTGAGGTTCAACCAAGCCGCTTTTGTGCAGCTCCACTTCATTGCAGCATCACTTATCTTTGATATAAATTCAGTTACTTGAGACATAAAACACAACCTGTCTCTGCTGTTTCTTGCAAGTGCTGCTTGCTTTCTTTTTTTTTTTTCCCAAAAAGAAAGAGGAAAGCGTGCTTAATAATCTTCACCAAAAAAAAAAAAAAAAATGGAGAGGACAGAAGTAAAAAATAATTAAGTGAGTTGAAAATAACTGCAAGAATACTGCTATATATACAGAGCTGAATCTCTGCCACAGGGCAGCAAACAGGAAAATGCACCAGTGTTGAAAGTTATTTCAAACACACCTCAATTTTACATACTGACAGCTTGTGTAAGAGGTTTGGAGAATCCAAGGTCCTTTTTTACTTTTCCATCATCAGCTGGCTTGCAGCAGGAACAAGCAAGCCTCCCACCTTGGCTCCAGAGTTGTGCTTACATTGCTGCCATGCCTATGCCTCGTACCTGAAATGATCCAGACCCTGAGCTGCTGACTGACTTCCTGGCTTTAGCTAGAACCTCTCTCATCACCGTGGACTTGTCTGAAGACTGGGACTGTTGGCTGACCCTGATCCCCACCAGTGCTGTTCTTGGTTAGGCACCGTGGAACAGTGGCTGCTGGCTCACCCTGTCCTATGGGAAGCTGTCCCTGCCGCCTCTCACACTGTGTCAGGACACAGTGAAGGACTGGAAGGTAAGAAGCCCCAGGCATGGAGAGGGCTGAGGGTTGTGCAGATGCGTTCAAAAGCAATTAAAAAAAAAAAAAAAAAAAAAAAAGGTGCTGCCTCAGTAAGAACAGATGGGCTGTACTGGTACCATTTCTTTATACTGTTTGTGGATGAATGAATCTCTGATGGCAAGGAAAAAAGAAGTTGATATTTAGCCAAGCTGGTATCTTGGTTATTATAATTTTATTTTACAAATTGTTAAAAGTACTACCTCATCCCATGTTTGAACCTATGCAGTAAATACTGACATCCCCTAATGCAGGCCCTATATAAAGGCCTAACAACCTTTCTTCAGTATCTAAAATACCAATACCTTGGCTAGCAAACAGTCTGGCCACAGATATGAAGACACAGCTATGCTCTGAATATGCACTGCTCCCTAAATATGTGATGGATTAAAAAATAACCTCAAAAGACCTTTCCTACTTTTAATCAAGTTTTGACTAAAATCAGCTAAATTTTCAGTATACTAACAGAAGCTAGATTCTTAAACTGATAATCAGAAATACCATTCCTTAGAAAGGACCACAGTGACAAAAATCCACAGTGGGAAAATCTGCTGCTGATGGCTGAATTCTTCCCAAGAAAATTCCATGTGAACTGGAACTGCTCTTATTTTCCACATGAATAAATAAAACAAAATAAGGCTGAGCTCAGATCTGCCTGTGCTTTTAGAGTCCTACAGACTTGTTATTCCCACAGTGCAAAGACCATCCATCTTCATGGATCATTGGTCTGGCTCTACAGCAACATATGATACTGCTAAGGTACATCTGAAGGTAAGAAGACAGGAGCCCAGACTTTCTGGACTATAAGTAGTTTTCTACTGATTTGAATGAGCTTCTAACAAAAACAATGGTGAGAGCACAGCATCTCACCCTCCCACTGAAACTTTGTAGTTTTGTTTTTCTTTAATATTGTCTGTTGTATGAAAAGTTACAGAACAGAAAGGGACTGGTCTTCAGGGCCCTCACATGTTGCTATGAAAAATTTAAGAGCTCTGCAGAAGAACATGAAGTGGAGAAAAGAAAAAAAAAAAAAAAAAAGAAGAAAGAAAATCCTCTACTATAAAGAACTCTAACAGAGAGAGTTCCAGCAGAGAGCAAAGGAGATTATAACAGAAATCTCATGGTACAGTCTTTATCAAAGAAGAAACCAGACAGCCCTTTATCAAAGTTTCACTGCAGTTGGTCAAAATCTGTTGTCAGTCACATCAGCGTAATCCCCGAGTAACTCAAACAAAGAGAGGATGTGAGCAATTGAACTTATTCTAGATCTAGCCAGTGTCTAGTGAAAAGAATAGAAATGGTGAGAATTAACCAGTGACAGTTCACCTGACAGAAAACCAGGTGGTCACACAGTGGTCCCTCACAAGAAGAGAAATGCGTGCAATGGAAGAACAGGCTGGACAAGTTGACAAAGGTGACAGAAGTTTCTTTTCAAGACACTTTATCACCTATTAATCACAGAGCTATGACTAACTCCCAGTTTCTTTCCTCAATCTTATCTTAATGCTTGCCCTAAAAAAAAAATCATTTAGAAATGAAATGTGTACCTCTTGGAAAAAAGCAAAAATGCTTTTGCTTAACAGCGTAGCTCACTGCAAACATGTGATACTTCAGGATTCCCTGTTTGCCTATTGTCTCCCAGCTGGAATTAGAAAGATGCTAGTTCAACTCAAGACTCTGCTATACAAGATATTTCCTTGCTCACAATGCTAAAACATCACAAGTTGCAGTTTTACAGTCTTCTGCCACATACAGCAGGGATGCAACTATTTCTATTTGTGTACTGTAAGATTTGCTCATGCTGCGACATCAAAATAACAGCTGGCACAAGTCTAGAAGAAAAGTCACCTATCAATGCTATGATATTTCCATTTGTTTTGATTTCTTATTGATCAATGGTAATCCATTCTTACTTATATGTGATTACACTCTATCAATAGTATAGTTTACTAAAAGCTAACAGCAGGTATTGTCCATCACTGTTTCTGGAAAGAAATCTTCACCCAGTCAGTGACTTTGCATTAGGAGCTAGAAATGCTTCTCTTTCATAGCCCAGCTTCACACTTGGAAGAAAACTACCCCCACAATCCATGCCAAAGCTAGTGAAGGAGCCCTGTTTAACTCTTACCTTCGAACTGGCTGTGCAATTTTACTTCTGGGTATGCCACTCCCATTGATGGCCAGCGATGGTCTTGGAAGAGCACTGCGCCCTACAATCCCTTGACTGGCAGTCTTGTTTGGCATTGGAATCCCAGTGTTAGAATGTAACTGTAAGTTGTTGGACACAGGAATACTGCTGCTACTATTACTAGTACTACTACTACTACCTTGTACAGTTGGGCTTACGTAGGCAGTAGCTTTGAGAGGCTGTCTGACAGACACTGGAAAATGTCCCACACTGTGAACTCTGTGTTGAAGCTGTCCTGGTGATGGAACTGTAAAGAGTGGTACAAAAAGAAGTGACAAGGTCAGTATAAAACAGGTGAGGCCAGGTAGTAATGCTCATTTCTAGATAGATTTGAATAGGCATAAATTATTATACAATCTACATCATATTACAGATTATTCTACATCACTGTACAATTTATTTGTAAGTTATAAACCGCTGAAAAACCCCTTGGATCCACTACTGTATCTAGTAACACTGCACTGAACTAAAATACCATTTCCATCTCCATCCTGAAAAAAAATCCCACTCCATATTCCTCCTCCTTTCTCCTGTCAAAGAGGTTTCACCAGCCATTACAAGGACACTAATTCCTCTGCAATTAGAGGTTTAAACAGCAGAAACTGCTGAAGGTATAAATAGCTACTGTTAGATCATTTAGATTCTTGTAAGGTTGCTTGCAATAACCACATCTTGTTTAAGAAACATTGCATTAAAGCATTATAAAACATCACGCAAGTCTAAGCTTTATGTATAAAAACAATAAAAAGTCTATAAAAAGGTCTTGAATGTAACAGCATATTCCAAGGCAAATGTTATGTAAGCTATTATTTTAAATCAATATTATGGGTTCCAGAAGTTTTATATACAGATTTTCTACACAATCCTGCCCTCTGGTGTACATCAGACACGCATCTGTTTCAGAGTCCACGTATCAAAAGCAAACTGTCAAAACCATGAAGCACATAAACTAACAGACCACATACAGGCAAATCCTTTCTCAAGTCCTTGAAAAAAGGAAATCTTAAAATCACTTAGAGACACAAGAGAAAATATAGATATGTAATTCAATTAAACAACACTGGCAACATTATGCTATGGAACTCTTACCATAACACAGCTCCTTAAATACTCTATCACAGTCACTGACTAGAAATGTTTTTTCAAAAAAAATTATTTCAGAAGATCACATTTTCTACACACATATAAACATATGTCAACAGATGGAGAAATAAATATTTCTAAAATAGTAAATAAAATTAAACTTTCAATGTACTACCATGCAAATTCAAATGGGAACCTGAAGAATTACTTCCATTCTCCTATTTAAATAGGACAAAAATAAAAGAGTAAATCCAGCAGTCACATATATTTCCAGAAAAGATGCAATTTAAAAGTTTCAGAGTAATTTGTAAATTCTGCCCAAATTTGAAAGAAAAAAAAAAAAGCAGAGGAAAAGGTTTTGCCAACTTCTCTCTCCAAGATCTCACAGGAAATGGAAGGCATAAATTAAATCCTTTTTCCTGCCTACGTTAAATCAAATCCACTTTTTCCATTTCCTCTTAAAGTACTTCAACCACTGTGCTAGCAACGCTGGGTTTGGATCTTGATCTATCTTGTTCATGTTCTATGTTAGTAATTCAACATCCACTAGAACAATACTCCTCCTCCATCACCCCCATCAAGAAGTCACTTAAATTAAACTAACTACAGTCATTTTAATTTCTCCACTCAACGAGAATATTATACTTGAGCATACAACTCTTCGTTTACCACATTTGCTCAAAAGAAAGATGCTCAGATGAGGTCATATATTTTAAGATTGTATTTCTACAGTGTCCTATAAACCCAGCATTGCATAAATTACCAAGAAAAGCAGTTTTCAATTCCATTATTTAAAAAAAAAAAGGGTTATATTATTTAATTGCATAATTGCTTCTACAATACTAGTACTAACAATTGTTAATATAATTTTTGTTTAAGTTGGTACAAAATGAATAGGCAAAGGAAAAAAAAAAAAAAAGGAATGTAATTAAACTTCCAGTACTGCATAACAAAATCAGCAGAGTTTGTTTTCCAAAAGAGAAACTGCAAAAATCCAGAGCTATATTAAAACAGCTATATTAAAATCTGGTGCAAAAGGAACGCATGCTGCTTTTTATCTTTCATAAAGCAGAGGATCAGTGAGTGGGACATGCATTTTACCATTCTACAGGTTCCCTGCACGCAGCCCTAGCACACAGGTACTTACTACACGACTGCATCCTTGAAATCCCATTACTCGCTCCATGCAAATTGGAGTCAAAGCTCTGACTGTTCCTTACAGTGCCTGGAGAACCAGCAAAGCCAGCGTTGCTGTTGATGGCGGGGGTACTTGGCATTCGGGCGAGGTTAGGCATGCTTCTCCGAAGCTTATCTGAAGCAAAAGAAGACAACATCCATAGCCGTGTCACAATTTCCAACAAATGCAAGCAGCCTCTGAATTAAAAGCAGCCTCAAAATTAAAACTAATTACTTCAACAGAAATAAAAGGGTTTGCTCTGCAGGAAGGATATGAATACGTTACTGACAGCTACTAATTGAAACCTTTTGACTACTGGAACAGCATGATGGTTCACAAATAATTTTGAAGACACCAACAGGTAGTACACTTTCAGAATCACAAGGATTTGAACACTGGAGTATTATATTAAGGATGAGTTTCACTTAAATGTGAAAAGTAGGTCAGATGAATCATGCTCTGAATGTGCCTGTTTCTTTGCAGTGAATACAAAGCAAAGCTGCAGTGCCAAAGCCAGACACAGGCGTCTATAGCGTGGATGTCTGAGGAGATGAATCCATCTTAAGTAACTAAAGTCTTGCTTCAGGTGTCAATGAGACGCTAAAAAATTCCATTCATCAACTAAACTTACTAGCACGTTAAATTTCTGTAGGCGACCAGGCACAAAATCTGCTAAGTCATGGGTTGACATCAGGATTTTCAAATCTAGTGTTTCTCCCTCCTCCCCAGCTTATGGTGCCCGATTCGGTGGGCACTTTCAGAACAGAACTGTAGGGCCCTTCACAAAAAGAAAGCTGCAAATACACCAGATATTTCCAGGGAACGTTCAGCAGCTAAGACAAGAGACTAAGAGGTGAGAAGATCTGTTCAACCCCACTCATTTTCAATGATTTGGAGAGAGAAGCCAAAACCAATTTTGATATCTCAAGAAGACTTCCCAGTCGTAACAGCATTAGGTAATCTAAGGTGAAGCTATTTTGGTGTCTTCTGCCAGAGGGCTGAAGGGAGATGACTCGATTCTGTGTAATCAGAGGAGACTGGCAGGGGCAGAAAGGTACACACTGAGTGACCTGGTCGGAAGTACCTCCTGCGCTGTGACGGACTTCAGTGAGGCACTGCTGCAGGGAAACAACCAGTCATTCATTAAATTGTCATCAACACCACCACTAATGCAGGCTCAGGAGCACACACGCTGTGCCTTGCTGAGGTGGCTGTATTTCCTCTGGTACTGTGGTCAGCGTGCAGGCCACCAGCTCCTGCCCCCGCCGTAGGTTCCAGCGCCTGGCAGATGTCTGCCCCCGCTTCTTACACTGCAACAGCAGCAAGGGCATGCTTGCCCGCTAACAGGCAGCTATGACTGCGCCCTCCAACAGCAAGCAGGGAATTTCAAGACTGACATTTTGGATTTATGCACAGGAATTACACATCACACTGCTTGGAATTGCTGTTTTGGGACAACCTCCTAGCTCACACATGGCAAGTTCTGCAGCCCACAGACTGACTTAATCTCTGTTTATCAGTCCACACAAATATATAACCTATTTAGCATCATCATGAGCTCCTCTAATCCTTAAAGCTGCTAACAACTGACAAGTAATAAGAAGTGACAGTACAGTTCTACCCATACAAGGTATTAGTAGTCACTAACAGTAACCTCAATATATAAGATGCCTGTGGAACTCCAGCAAGCCGAGTCACAGCAGGACTACAACTCCAGCTGGTTTTTATGACAAGTTCTCATAAGAACTGGTACAGAATCCTGCAAAGTCACAAACATCCTTGTACTTCAAAGGTCAAGCATTTCTAATATTTTCACGTCCCAAGTTCCAATTCCTAGTGCCTACCTACCCTTGGTACCATATCATGCACACTAGTCCTGTAATGATGAGACCACCTTGTCTTCCATCTTAACTAAGGTTGACTTTCTGTTACCATAGATGGTCTGACACAGAAAACCATTCTATGAAATACTTTAAATATTCCCCTGAATGAATTACACTACATTTTTGTATTTTTGAAGTCAAACAGTAGGTTTGGGGGGTAAGATAGGAAGGAGTTCAGAGCAGTAAAAGGAAATGCAAGGTTTGAGTTCCTGGAAACTAAAGTACAGCTAAATCCTAATAAAGAACCAGTTTAAGAGTAATCCTTCATCAGAGTTAAGAGCTGTTGTACTTCCGTGACTCATCACTGGCAGGCTGAAACTGTCACTGGCACATAAACAAACACTAAGCAAAGGGATTACCACTGTGTTTCAGTCAGGTGATAAGTATTAATATCACTGATAGGAGAGATATCAGGCTTCCAAAAGTGTCCTGGGATGCAAATAATGGCATACAGCTACTGTACGTCTATATTTCTGAAATACTTGTGATTATACAAATTCGAAGGGGAACTGTCTTCCTGTGATGTAATCCTTGGTCCAGAGTGACAGAAAATTAAATGAATATGGCATGTCTGCAGCTACTGTTAATTTTGGAGCTCTAGGCTACCCCTTAAAATCCTAGTTCGACATTGCAGCAGTTGGCAAAGAAAGGTTTGAGCAGCAGTACAGTGCAAAGGAAAATGGCACTGCATAAAATAGCTTTTTTATTACTATCCACACAGCACAGCCTATAAGCAGAATTCCTTGGACTCTACATGCTCTTCCACTTAGGGACTGCATCAGCCACCACAGGCATAATCTGTGCCTTGAATTGTCCAGTGCATGCAGCTATAATAGAAGGAAAAATAGGTACAGAGGTAGCTTGGATTTCTTCCATGCCATGCGTGGCCAAGTCTTTTGCCTCCTGTTCATTAGTCCCTTCTTGTCCCAGCAGTCCGCTCTGCTGCTGATTCATTCAGTCCTGAGGCAGCAGATTGCTGCTGCACCTGCAATTCTCATTCATCAAGCATCTGTGCTACTTCTTTGATGAGTCCTTGTGTCTGATGAGGTAAGTGGCCCTGAAAAGCAATGAAAATAGCAGGTCAGTTTCGTCTTTGGGGAAAACCCAGAAACGTTTGTCTTGATGGCATTTTGCAGCTTTCATCTCCTTGGATGATGCATCCTCTTTCATCTCTTTCTTGAAGTTTGCTCTGTCACCTGTTTTCCTCTTCCGAACAGTCCAAAGAGTCTTAGACATTTTGTTTGTAAATGAAATGCTGGCTCTTGTGAGCTTGATATATAGAAGCAAAAGGTGGGAGTTATGTGATTTTAATATTATTTCAGGCTGCTGAGCTGTGACTAGACAAACTTGCTGAAAATATATGAGAAGAAAGATATTTTTCCAAGCTGCTGGTATCAACCCTTCCCTTTCCAGAGCTCTTTGCTCTCCTAAGACTGATGGGAAAATTAACAGAGAGGAGGAGGGAAGTAGTAGAGATGTATTCTCAAATGAGAATATGCCCAAATCGCTCTGTTTATAATGAATACTGAAATTTGCTACAGTTTATGCTATCTCTTCTGCATTAATCTGGTTCAGTGGCAAGCCTAAAAAATTGCATGTTGTTCACAGTTCATTCTGTTAGAAAGATGTGTATATTAACACCAGCAAGGAACTCCAAAGGGCCTGCACCTTCTACAGTATCCATAATTGTGACCCACTATTGAGTCTTTACTATAATCCAGGCTGAAACAAATACGATGTTTAAGTGGATGCAGCCATATAAAGCATCACAGATGTATCTTCACCTTTGCCAGCCTTCTTTGAGATGTCATGATATGACCTGTAGACACTGTATTATTAAGATACTTGAAAGGGTGAAGAAAATGCAAGGATAGGTCATGTAAGGGAGTTAATACTCCTGGTTGGTTATTACCACTTTTTCATAATAGTTCATACATATATACGTGCTTGTCACTTCATGAATGTTTAGGTAGCATATGTTGCCCTTGTTCCACACATCTGCAGCAGAAAGATACACCAAAAAATCGCCTCCTGCACATTTATACTTTTTCCCCTATGCGGCATCCATGCTGAACTGCCTGTTGCCTACAGCACAGGAAAAAATGGGAATTGTGAAATATGGGGTCCTCTGCCCTCAACCAAAAATCTGCATGGAAAGATTACCTCACAGCACAGATCATATTCGCTACTGGTGAGAAACGGGTCAAAAACCAGGCAAAAGCATTCCTTATTTTGTCAAAGATTCCCCAAAATTACAGTAAAGTCAGTACTTTGCCTCCTTAGCCTGCTGCTTCAATTCTGATTTTTTCCAGGAAGTTCTTCCCCTGATGTCATTATTTCTCTGAAGTCAGCCTGGGATCAGTGGCTCAGCTTCTTTCTGGCAGGACACCAGAGCAGGCAGCACCTGCCTCCTGTCTAGTGGTCTCAGCACTGCTGGTGGCCACCCTCATTCCACCGCTGCTTTTTTTACCTTCCCTGACCTAATACTATCACCAGCTGAAGATTAATGTCCACGTAGCACACAGACAGATCTTCCTCGTGGAGCAAAGCTGCCCCAGAAGTGGTGCACTCTTGATGAGCTGCCAGACTAAGAGTTCCGTAGCAGTTCTTGATTAGTACCATCTTCTCTCCGCCAAAACGCCTCATCCAGTGAGGTTCTCCTTGAAAGGAGGGCTCAAGTTCACTCTACAGCAAAGTAATTTATTCATTCATCATTATTCTCTGCAAGCGTTGTCAATGTTTTATTTGAACAAAAGGATGCGCAAGCCTTGCCAAAAGTGCACTGTTACTAAGGAATCTGACACAATGAATGGTAATTAGTGTCTCAGAGAAACCTGTATCACCTTTAGCTACGTTACCAGCTTCTTACACATTTAAATCCTTCACACAAACCCTACAAATTTAACTCTGCCTTATCTGTGCTGTATACACAAATACACAGGAGAAAAATATGGAAAAAAATCTCTGCTTTTGTATTTTAAATATTATTTTCTATGTTATGTAGATATTGAGAGTTTGTTCTAAAATCCTTAACAAACTTGTAGACTCAATTGCAACTTCACATCTCTTCCTTATCTCTGAAGACCTGAGTTCAGTATCTGCTTTACATTTTTCATGATTAGAACTTATGACATCCCAAATACACCAGGGTCTAGTTCAAGGTCTGTGAAATTCCCATTTGATACAACAGAGACATCAGTGTGTGAAAACACAAATAACAGATTGAGAATTAAAAGCAAGTCTTTCAGTTAAGCGAGAGATGCCATTCTTCATGCCTGACAATACCTACATTTTGCTAACACTGGACACTTCCATTTTATTCAGCATTATTACTTCAACTCATCTTGGTTTCACAGACATGTCTCACACCACAGATAGTTAGAGCAAATTACAGATTTTTCCATGACTTCTCCCCTCTGATCACTATTCTCAATATAACATCAAACGTGACAAAGTAAGATTATTTTCTCCTCTTCTTTATTAAAGTTTGCAACAATTTCCACAGTGATTTCACCCTTCCTTACTGAACAAGAAAGGTTATGAGCAGAAAAACAATCTGTAAATCAGTGAATCTGTAAAAATAGGCCTTTTCCCACCTCTCCACACAAATCAATGTGAGTCTACGCTGAACAGACAGTTAAGCATCAACCTACTGCCACCTATCTGAAATATTGCTCTTCTATATCCCAAACGTCCAAGGCCCCCCAAACGCAAGAACTATATTTGCAGCTTTCCAAATGAGACAAGTGTGTGCCAAGAGCCAATGGTGTTCATAATATTTTGACCAAGAAAAGTGGTTTCCCAGAAGCATACACAATAAAATTCTAATTGAGTTAAACACAGACTAATTTTGAGGAGACACTGTGTCAAAGCTGAACACTGTTTTTTCACCCCTGATGGAATGCCCAAATTCTAGTTACTTGTCATATGGATTGCTATGTGAATAATCAGATGAACCAGGGGCTAGACTGCTGACTGCATGTACAAGAACACAAGTGATCTTTCTGGGGGAAGAGAGAGGAGAAATTTGGGAAGACAGTTGGAATGGCCGAGCACAGCACAGCATGTGGTATATGAGATTAATTATGGATGATGCTTTCCACATATATCAAAAGCAGTGACTCAACAGTTTAGACCTTCCTTCTATCACACCCCTCTTTCTCACATGACTTGGTAAACTGTAACAGTGTGGAACACAACATCCATCATACTGAACTTCACACAAATTCTTGTTTTGTAGTCTACCTCCATTTCAATGTGTAGGAGTTCTTGAAAGACAATGAAATTGCTGCCAAGATGATGAGAAGTGTCAAAGAGATGATGTTGCTGTAATACTACTCAGACATACTACAGCAAACACTTGACTCCTTGTCTGCCAACGGAACATACCAAAAGTAAAACATTCCTCACTTTCACTATTTGCCACTTATGTGGAATAGTGCTGCATGACTCAGAGGCTGAAGGTGCAAAAAATGAAGACGTAATTCCCCTCTAAAGACAGTGGCACTGACTGTTATAGGACTGTCTGCCGTCCCAGCAAACAGGTAACTGAAGTTTGGTGTCACTTAGAAGACGGACACACAACAGATTATCCAACACCTCAAAGTTCTTGAGAAAAAAGGCAACAAGGTGGTAAAATTTGTGTCCTTTTACATTTATATGCTTTCTAGTTGATTAACTACGAGTCTAGTATTTTTAGTGCCCTGTGAGTGCTTGCTGAGGTCTCCACGTGGGAATCCAATGCTTAAGCTCCACTGACATGAAACATGAGAAAGTAACTCAAAAAGCATTTGGGGACCATGTAAGAAGATCACAGCACCATGTCCTGACCTTATTCCTGAATCAAAAATGCAGCATAACCTTCCTTTCTATCTCCCTAACATTTCTGCAAGCCCATCAGTGCTTGGAAAGCAACATGCATACCTGTTGGGCTCTATAAATAGCAACCTGGTGTTGTTTTGAACAATGCATTTACTTTCTTGTCCAAGCATGAGTTGTAACCTGTAGTGTTACAAACAAGACCCTGAGTGAAAACTGCTTTGAATTATATTAGGGAAAAGACCGAAGGAAGAGGAAAGTAAGCTGCAGCAGGAGGAAGAAAATTAGTAATGAAGGAAGGTGACAAAAACCACAGAAGGTAACTTAAAGTCTTGACTAAGAATCAAGAGACAAATCTTACAGAGACCCTAGAATATATCTTAAACGCAGTCAAAAAAGCAGCAATTGCTCAGCATAGTTTGGGAGTGACATTATCTCCCACTACTTTAATAGTCTGCCCTACCAGACCGGGAACAGGAGCCTAGTGTTGATTCCTGCAGTGAGTACTCTTTGTGGATTCACAGTAGAGCTGCATTAACAGCAAAGTCAAGACTAAGAAAGGGAATGAAAACCTAGAGAACCCCATTTTGTATTCTATTGTATCCACAATGGACATGCATAGCTCAAGTTCAAAAGCCCAATCAGTTCTTCTAACCAACTATTAGCCTGCTAGAAGATGTTTTTCTTTCCTTCTTCTTTTTTTAAAGTAGACTAAAGCAACAACTTTCATGACCACATCACAGATTACATTTTGTAGCAAACTACTCAACAATAGTGTATCTCAATCATTTGCACAGACTTAAATTGCTCGTCACAACAGGCTGATCTAGCTGTCATACACTAAATGCACCTCACTCTGTTGACACAACTTGATCTTTAAAATGGCACTGGCACTTTACACAGAGAAAAGACCATTTCTCAGAAAAGCATGCAACCCACCTCCATTAATCCTGTTTGGTTGCTGCTCTGGAGTTTGGGCTTGAGGAGAGTAGCAGGGTTGTTGGTAAGTATTTGAAGGGAAGTGGGGGGAGGTAGGGCTCCTCCTGCAGTCCCGAATACTGGAGAAAGTCTGTGAGTGAGGAATCCCTCTCTGGAAGGGGGAGCAGCGAGTCAGCCGTGGCTGTGGAGGCGGGAGGTGGTCAAACTCTTCCTCATCCTCAAGACTATAGCGGTCATACTCCTGGTCACCGCACGTCCCTTTCTTTCCCGCATGCAGAGAGATGCTTGAGCTGTGCCTTGACACAGAAGCTGAAGTCGAAGCATAATCTTGCCTAAGGCCTGTAAATTCAAATAAGAGGATGATTCAGCTTCTGCTAAGTGATTAACTCTTAACATGCACTACAATCTTGAAAAATAAGTAGGCAAGTAAACAATTTTCCAGCAAAAATAGGATTTCCACAGTCACCAGGCTGAAGATCTGAGGTAGGATTCATTTGATCTGACTGTCAGTGTCTACCTTCCAGGCATCTAAGCCTGAATTATTTCCCTTGAGATCCTTTCTTAATAAAAAATATAAGAATAATACAAGCACCTCCAAAATGCAGTACCTGTGAAATATATTAGATGCCTCTCTTAACATAAGATGAATTGCCTTCAAGAAGCACCTATTTCCCTGTCAATAGACTATTTGAGTATTAACTTTAAAACACTCTTAGAGGAATTAACACTCACTTTATTAGGTTTTCCAAGTTATTGCTATTAAACTTTTATATTTATGCAACAAAAATGCTGACAATGACATTTCCCAAACTTATGTTTAAAACCATGTAAATATTCTGGCTCTCCAACCTCCCTGAACCAGAATTAGTTCCTGTTAGCAGCTGGCTGGGCTCTTGGACAATGTTCAGTGGGTAATACAGCTGTGTTTTAGACAGGTACACACCCTACCACCCCCTTCTCAGAACACCAGTTTTGAAAGCTATCCCACTATTAGCACTGCCCCAGAAGAGCATGTTTGCTCCAGGCCAAGTGAGAGGTAAATATCTACCTCCCTTGTGCATCCCCCCTTTTCCCAGCTGCAGAACAGGCAGGGGAGAAGGGGATGTACATGGCATTTCCAGGAGCGGAGTAACTTTGCCAATAGCTGGGGACAACAACCTTCCTAGATTTACAAAATGCCCTCAGCTTTGACAGATGTCTTTGATTCATAATGGAAACTCCTTAATATGCCTTCCACCCTCCCCTGAGTGAGGGTTTCTATCCGTGGCTGTGAAGACAGCGTGCCTGTGAGCACGTACCCTACTTCCACTTCCGACGGGATTAAGTGGACAACCACCATCACATGCTCAAACATTCCGAACCAGCCGCTACTATGAGGATGAGATACAACCATTACACCTGACACAGATTAGAAGAAAAACAGTGGTTTTCCTTCCAGTTTACCAATGACCTGATTCCTTAAAGAGCTAAGTAGAATCATAGAACCCAAAGACTTTTTTAAACCTCACTCTGAAGGAGATTAGTGCAGCTGTTCATTTAAGTAATGCAATCCTTTGCATCTTTGATATTCAGAATTTTCTTTTCATTATTACAACTTTCACATAATATCAGAAAATTTCCAAGCTGTGACCATATACATTTGTTAGCTGAGAATTCAACTACCTTGTAATGTCTCGCATGTGCCAGTTTCTCTGCTGAACATTACAAGTGCTACCAGACACCGAGGAAGTTTAGCTCCTGAGAAGTGATCATTCCAGTCTGCTCAGTCTGGGTGCTGCAGCCAGATCGCAGCTCTAACTTCTTCACATTTCATTTTTATTTTAGTTAATCACATCCCTTGACATTTTCCTTCAGTCACCATCTCTGAATTTCTCTTGGTTTTCAACTCATCATTTCCTCCTTAATGTCTCAATTGCCACTAACAGGAAGTGAGAAAGACACTGCACTTTCTTTCTGGCTACTTCTAAGTCAAACGCCCTTCATTTATTAATAAAGATATTTTCCTAAAGTTACTATCAAGCCAAACTATAATCTATGTCAGCTAAACTGTTGGTTCCATATTTGTGCATAATCAGTAATCTCAACCCAAAATGTTAAATTTAAATGCCCCAATTCAGGATTTAAATGGGAATTAATTACCAATTTCATTTGACAATGAGCCAGAGTGTATTGGCAGTGGAGTCTCCTTCTGTGGAGATATTCAAAACCCACCTGGACGCCATCCTGTGCAACCTACTCTACGCAAACCCGCCTTAGCAGGGGGGTTGGATTAGATGATTTCCAGAGGTCCCTTCCAACACCTACCACTGTGTGCTTTTGTGACAATTAAGAAAATGAAAGTAGAGGCAAAAAAATCCATGACTGATGTTTATTTTCACCCTTCTCCTGAAACATATGCACAAGAAAAGTGCTTGAGGACCTTCCCATCCCAGAAGTAAAATTGTTTTAATTAATGTGGCAAGACATTGTAAATCTAAATCTAAATGTATCTGTTGGGAGTGGAGCTACCAGTTGGGATTCAGAAAAAATGTAAGCATTAAATTTTGAAAGATCCAGTACCATTAACCTGAACCCAATACCTCCTCTGTAGAGGTGAGGAGTTTTTCCACATGCCATTCAAGAGGCAACACTGCTTAAGAAAGATCCACTTAGACTGAGACCAAACGGGAGCAGTTTTGACTGTTATGGGAAATCTTCCTCAGACTATTTTGAAAAACAAAGAAAAAGCCACCTACTCTCCTCCTGTAGACGAGCCATGATTTGAACATCGGTGAGGTCCTGCAGCTTGTATCCCATGGATATGGAATCATCTTCCAGCTCTGAGGTGCTCAATTCACTGTCTATTGATGACTGTGGGCTCAAAGGGGAACTCCTAGAAATGTAACCTATGTAAGAAAACATAACCTTTAGTCTGTGAATGTGTCCAGCCATCTTTCATTCACGACTCTCTGTCATTTATGTTACAGTACCTTATAATATTTTCTGTGTAATACATAAAAGCTTTCAGAATTGTAGTGTAATCCGCTAACAATTAGCAAAGGGCTTTGATACTTTTGACAAGTAGTAAACATAGTAATAGATTATGAATTACTCTGCTTGTTCCCAAAATAGCATCACATAGCCCAGACAATGAATAATTTACCCAACACAGTCCTGATACCGCTCAGATTAGTTAGTGTAGTCTAAACACATCTGCATTTGAATGCTCCTTGTGGGACTGTTGTTCTCCCTACTCTGTTCTGAAAAGCATGTGTTTGCAACATCAACTTCTGCTCAGTACTCAGATTCTAAAAAAAAAAAAGATGTTTATAGTTATCAGATAGATCAAAGACAGTAACAATTAAGACTGAACACTATGCAACAACAGAGTAAATGTAGCCTCATTCACTGAGTTACCTTTTGGAGAGGGCTCCAGATTCTCCTTTTTCCCTGCATGACAGTAAAACCAACTAAATTGCTATTAGTTGCATGAGTTAGTTGTTGCCCAACTTTAAAGAATAATCATGCAAATAAAACGGTAAATCACTTTCTAATATCTTCTGGACCACCAGAGGCCCACACACCTGCAGGGTGAGAACTGCTGTGACTCTGGGTCAGCAGCTGTGCTTCTGTCACAGAGGTGTTTGCATCCACTAGCACTGCTCAAAGCAGCCATCTGTAAATCACATTAAATTAATCTGCTGTCTAATACTTCTGATAGAAAATGACACAGGATTACTTTGCTTTGGAAGAACTGTAAGGAGTTAGGAGGTTTGCTTTTTTAAATTTGCAAGTTACAGTGGTCCTGCAGGTTTTGCAAAAGAAATAACAGCTGTACCCTTTTGGAGCAGCAGTGGAAAGCCAGACAAGATACCTCAGGGTGTCTCAAAGAATATGAGATGCCTTCAGTTAGGGACTAAATTACATCCCACTGCATAGGGGAGCTTAGACACCTCGCTCACACAGACACCTACACCAGTCGTTCAGTCTGGAGTTGTATCTCACCTGCAGTGCCCATATTCCTAACAGGGCTTTCTGCACTGATTTCAGGTGTTGTAAAGAAAACTGCACACAGATCAGTGTGACACTGATGCTAACTTCCTTAGACCACACCAGCAATAAAGTATTAATGCCTCTTTCCCAGAACATTATATTTTCTCCACTGCTACTGCAGCTTAAGAGAAGTCACTGATACAAATTGACTCCCGATACCTGTAGTGAAGAAGCAAAAATTCAACTCTTTGCAATTTACAGCCCATAGAAAGTTTATAATTTTTTCTAAAACTCTTCTATCCCCTTAAAATCAGTAGCAAACATTTATTTTATGTTGGACAGCAGCAACAATACCAGTTTGAAAACAGACGTGATTCTGCCGCCTATTTTTATTACAGAGAAATTCTCCCTGCAACTCCATTATACAGCTGCACAAACGTTTCCACAGACGTAAAGAATGGCCACAATGAGGCAGAAATGAGCAATAAAGGGCAGACAAAGCTGGGGACTGTTGAAAATGACACAGTTGCAACAATACTCTCAGGTAAATAATTACTGAGAAATAGGCTCTGCTTACTAGCATCACCTTGCTGTAACATGCTGTCTAACACAAAAGATACTACACTACTAGTTAATTATCAAATTTTAGGTAATTAAAATAAAATCCCTCCATCTGAGAAGGAGTTTCTATACTGTATAATCCATCCTGATTTAACAGGTATTACAGTCTTAATGAACTCATTATCTTTCTTTTGGGAACTACATATTCAGTTAGTAGCTCTATTAATTGGAAAGGGTTTTTAAGACCCAGTAGTACATCCACAAGGGATAACATCTGAATGTGGATAGGCAAAACTGATTTATAATAAGTAAACATGAAGATAATTGCAGCACAGATGAAAGATCATGGTACAAAGCTCAAACTACACAAAATAAGATGTCTTCACCATTTCTCTTCCAAGGTAGTATGAAAAATTCTCTAATGCAAATTCTCCCTCCCTCATCTGAATAACTGACTGTTGTTAAATGCTAGTGAGATTAGATTAAATTAGGCAATTCTGTAAGCACTGTAAATCAATAAAAAGATCAGCATTACCTGTTCGTTCAGGTGTTAGTATTGCTTTACTGGAGGTTTTAGAGAAGCTGGGACTATTAAAGCCATTGGTATATGGGGTGAGTCTCGCAACAGGACTATAGGGAAAAGCCAAGGAGACAGGCGTGGAGAAGAGGTTCCGCCATCGGCTAGCTGTTACAGATGCAAGGGAGGAGGGGAAAAAAAAAGATTTATAGTTATAAATAGAATAGTGCTGTTAGAGAGAAAAATCATCTCATCTTAATCTGTTCATTATACATTTTTTAGTTATGGCAAAAGGAAAATCATGGCCACGGTTCAGTAGCAAAACAGGATCAGCACAGTCTTCAACATGCAAGAGCATGCTCCAAAAAGGTTTCTAGCTAATATATCTTGTTTACCATTTTCTATGTATACGCCATTTTGGTATATATTTATCACATACATCTCTGGGTGCTGACACACAAAGTAACAGAGGAAATAAAAACCACTACAGTTAATAGAGGAACACAGATGAAATTTGTAGCACTCTTCAAGGAAATGTTCATGGCAATCAGTCATCACACAATTGAATTAGCAGTTAAATTATCAGTTATGGGAGTTCAGAGACACTGCAGTAAAAGACGCTTAACCATCAAGTGCTAAAAACAACTGTAATCCCACAGCAAGCTTTTAAGCTACCATATTTTCCCTTCTCTTTTTACAGCATGAAATTCCTGATTACATAAGCACGAATTTTTTTTTTTTTTTTTTTTTTTTACTGTTTTTTTGAGGATCAACCAAGTAATAGAACAGGGCACCTCTTTTCCTAGATATTGCTTACAATAAGCCTGCAAGGCATCTGGTCTGCACAGTAACATCACAAGGAGCTCAGTGTAGGCAAAAAAAACCCTAAAGGCTTATTTAATTTACATTTTCTTAGCTTATCCAGTAAACTATGAATACAACTGTTCTTTGGTTTGCCTACTTTTTAACATATGTTCAAAAGGTAAAATAAATCATCTGCCCATGCACTTCAGAAAACACATATTAGAGATGAAGTTATTTTAAGAACGAAAAGGTCAAATTTAAAAAGTTTAAATTTCAGAGAACACATTCACATACAAGCAAATTTTGTACAGATGAAAAACAAATTATAGCATCTCATGTTTATTTGTGACAGAATCTATTTTGTCCTGACAGATGTTATGTATAGCAGCACATGTGAGGGAGCTGGAAACACACCTATACCCCGAGTAGAAATCAATGGCACAACTTTGATGCTTAGCAGGTGTACGTTGTGGTGTCAGATGATGCAAGCTGGTTTTCAAAACTAGAAGGGCCCAAAAGCTCTCAAAAGCTGTTCTGTCACATGGCTAGTTAAAACCACAAATCCGACATGTTTTTTGGACCCGTTGATCCAAGTACACTTTAAACAAGTACATTCTAAACACTCACAGATATTCAAATAATATTCAAGCCTCTCTCTTTTAAAATATCTCACTGTCACCAAAGTGATTTAGCAGGACATACAAACTTTATCCTTCCCTTTTGCTAACATCGACAGAGTGGCCCCAGGAACAGTAAGGAAGTGCATTTTGTTGATGGGCTGTCAATCTCAACCTTGCAACCTTTTGGAGTAATTGGTTCATCGGTCCAAAAGACGCTATTCCCCTTCCCACCCTCCCCATTCCTTTTGCTTTGACTCTCAAAGGTGCTCCTGGGTTTGTAAGGAATAAGCAGCTTTTCCTACTCATCACTACTAGGCTTGGAGCAAAGGCAACCTCCTGGTTCCAGCACCAGCACAAAGCAATCTAGCAGGGAAGGGGAGTACCTTCAAGGCTCAGCCTCTGTGGGAGGGAGCTGAACTATGTATTAGTAAGATTAAAAAAGAAAAAAAAAAAAAATTGTGATCTTTGCTGTCCTCTCATCACAGAATTATTGCAATTCCCACATTTTACATGACTCTAGTAGTTCCTTCAGGCTTAAAGAAACTCAAAGGTCTGAGATCGTAACTAGGAGCAGCATCAGCACCAATTCTAGGGAATTGCTTAATCCCAAGCAACACAACTCTGACTTCCGGGCAGGGCTATTTGTCCTTAACACTCACTGACATCACCAGTTCAAAAGTCAAACATACAAGTGGTCCAGGACAAAAAGGGGAGCAAACACTGATGCACATAACTCTGCAAACTAGTAATTAACACAATTGCTGGGGATGAGATTAACTCACAAGGCGTTAGTAACTGCAAATTCATATGAGGCATGCATTTAAAGAAATGCATGCAATAAAGCAGATCTCAACATCATATTCACAGCTAATGTTTTCCATTTCCACTAGAAATCATCAGAAGGAGCAAAAATGACAGTTCCTTGTGATTTTATTTTTCTGCCTAACACAAGATCCTGTTTTGTAGCAGCCTGATCATTTGCCAGGCCAATTAGCTGCCAGCATGTTCTCACCCCCAGATGTGGTCAACCATACAGAACAAATAAACATCATTCATTACCCTCTACAATAACGGCTGTGAGCTGGCCCACTAAGCACAAAGCAACAGTTATTGTGACTATGAAAGCAAGAACCCACGCAAAGAATATAATTAGTATTATGGCAAACGCTATTTCAAACTCCTCTTTCACATAGTATGTATTCTCAAGGAAAGGTGGACAAAGAAGCCAAGAAACTCTACCTACAATAATCTCTCTCTATACTATAATGTTAATTATAGTCTCTATAATGTTAAATATACCAAATTCTAGAACTCTTGCCACCATGCCTGAAATAAAACTTCACAGTGTTTAAGCATCAGCAAAGGATTGACACTTTTTAGGCCTACAATTAACTCAGATGTTTAGGATCAAATATAGAAAACTGTCTTCATTAGGTTTCAAATGGAAATATCAAAGTGCACGTTGAGTACTTCTACAGTAGAAGGCTGTAGCAAAATTAGACTTACTGAAGTCTTGTGCTGATGCCAAAAAAACATAAAGAGGTACGTAGGAAGCAAGTGCTACGGACATTTAGTCAAGTATGTAAATTAATGCAAAATTTGTAAAATGCCAAAATTCTGCAAAGGATAGTCATTTTAGGATAGTTATTTTGCTCCAAACTGATTCTGAGACTGCTCTGGTTAGCATGATAAAACACCACTACAGTATGCACGGATGAGACAAGGTTGTTCAGACTTTTAAAAGCCCGGCTGTTAAGCTCTCAATTTTACAATATTTGTAGCTTTTTAAAGCCTCAGTTCCAGTTGCTCACAGATGAAGTAAGAAACTCAGGTACCCTTTAAAAACAAAGGAAGTTTCTAACCTTTGCAGTTGAATATAAATGTGAATGATTCTGCCCTGAGTACCTTATACTGAAGATACATTGAAGGAAGAAAAAGCATCTGCCATGATACCAAGAACCATGAAGAGAAAACAAAAAATCAATTTGATTACTGATGGCAAACAGTTAAATGTATTAGCAATTTGACTTCCTGAAGCATGAAACTGTTGGAACTAATATTCTGTAACACAATAAGCAGAAATTGTCCCTGTCAAAGCCTACAGTTAGATTTGAAGAGCCCAGCTTCTTGGGTATAATTTCCTTGGTTCTGATTAATTCTTAGTAACTAGACTGCTGCTAATGTACTGCATTACACAACGTCTACTTTAACAAAAGAACTTGTCAAAATGACTACAGAAGCAATCAAAAATATTTCCTTAAAAGAATTGTCAGCAACAAGTGAGCTTCTTCATAACTTTAAAATATTTACTAACAAAACTGAAGGTTAAAAAATAATTACAACCTTATTTTTATAACTTCTCTGGAGATACCAATATGTTAAAACAGATGAGAATAGTAACTCACATAGAAAAATATGAGCAATTACATAAAAACAAATATTCCCCATACTGACTGCTGTGAATAATCAACATTACATAAGCACTGACGGAAAATTTCACGTTTACTTGTTCAGGCTTACATCTACATAACTGAAGGGCTTCAAAAGGAATGGAGCACCCTGCAAAACCACAGCCTGCTGTACCCCACGTAAAGCAATTTCTTTACTAAAAGCAATTTCTCATTTAATCTGCATAAGGTACACAATTTCAAAACACATATGGAAGCATGTTTTTGAAAGTGAGGACAAAACTTGCTATTCCAATTAAAGGGAACATTTACAAGCTAGGACATGAGATAAAGACCAGCATAGACTCTCATTTTGTTGTTGTAATTTCGTGGGGTTACACTGATGTAAATGAGGGCATATGGGTCCTCTACTTGATGAATTAGATACATCTAGGACATTACAATAGCTAAATATATCAGGGTTTCCAAGAAACCAAAAGAAGTACATGCACATTTTAAACATCTTCCATTCTCCTAACTCCATTATGAAAATCAGTAAACTCAGTTTGCCAGAACAGGAACTTACTTTCTCTCCATGCAACAAAATTAAAATTTCTTTGCTATAGAGACAGAAACCAATAAAGCCATAAATAATTGTGTTGTACTACTAAACCTACTAAATTATATGAGGTGTTATCTAGCTTGTTTAGCCACTCAATTAGCTTAAGTTTTATATAGACCTTCAGGGCAGAATCAAACATTTTAAGCTCAAGCTAAAAATACGTTAAATTGCATATATGCAGACACTTGAATATGGGTACTAATTATGCAGCCTCAAGAAAACCCTCTTTTGAGTCAACACTGGAGAAATATCTACAATGCTGTCAATCCAGCAAGCTCAAAAAAAGTTGTAAACACACAGCACTTTCCTGCCAACATACTTTCTTTAAAGCAGGAAACCCAAACCATGTCCCTAGTGCATTCTGCATACACGAGGTTGCACAGCAGCCACGCTTAGAAACAACATCTCTCTCTCAGGAGTAAAATCCACAGTCCTGCACAGGAAACAAAAGTATTTTGTTAAATCGCTAGAGAAATTCAAGAGTGCAATAAGTTATTTCAAAACTGTCTCCTTACTGTAGATAAGAATGTCTAAACTAGCTGAGAGGTATCACCTCAGTAAGGCATATCTAATATCTGCCTCCCAAAGACAGGTATTTAACCTTTGCTTTTGGTCCCTGTGAAGCAGTGATTCAGAGTCTGAAAGCTACTCCTGCAGTCAGATGTACATCTGAGAACAGGTAAGTGTCTAACGTTCTTGAAAAGACAGCCAGAGGAAGAGAAGATGAGGGTAGCTCCC